ACGACCACTCTCTCCTACCACCCACCCACCACCACACACACACACACACACACACACACACACACACACACACTCCCAGCCATCTTTCACAACATCCCCCAGGGTCCACCCATCAGGGGCCTGGTTTGGGGCCTGCCTCAAGTCAAAAGCAGATAACCTCTCCCAGGGATGTATAAACATCCAGTGGGTGTCAGGGGCAGAAGAATGTGGAAATGGATTTTTTTCCCTCTGAGCACCGGACGTCTTGTTCCAGGACTGCTCCGAAGTTGCTGTGACCCCTCAGATCTGGGCCTGAGGCCCTTTGAGTCTCCATCTGTGTTCCCCAGAGGCTTTCTCACTGTGGGTGACTTCTGCAACCCCAAAAAGTAGACTTCCCAAGTGGCCAGGTTCCCACACTCCCTCTGCACGAGCCCCACCACACCTTCTTTGAATTGCAGTCCACAAGCCAGGGGTTGCCAGCTGTGGGCTGGCCCTCCCTTCAGAAGGGCGTTAATGGAGGAAACGGGGGGGATTTTATGTGGAGACAAGTGGTTTGAATTTAAGCGGAGGGCACAGGGGAGCTAATTAGAAAGCCTAGATGTGGTAAACAGATATTTGTTTTATCTTACTTTTTAGGGAACCAAATCTTAGAAAAACAGAACTGAATTTGAAATTAAGCAACACCTTTTCTCCCCCTCAGCTACATTTTGTTTCCAGGTTTAAAAAAAAAATAGAAAAGAAAAGCTCTCCACAAATCTGGTCAAAAGACTCAAGGAGAAATGCGCTGAAGCTCTGTCCCACCCTGGGGACCAGAAACTGTGGCAGACGATCCCCGTGTGACTCTGGGGACCGCGGGTTTGGTCTCAGCTCTGAGTCGACAGGGGGAGGCAGGCACTGGGTTTCACAGAGAGTGAGACCCTGCCGTCCGTCCGCAGAGTTGTGAGCTGTTGCCAGTGCTGGAAAGAGGAAAAATGATTCCCCTCTCATCTTTATTTAGCCTCCTGTTGCTGTTCTGCTTCATCTCAGAGAAGCACGGGGTGATTTCTGGATATGCTTGGAGTGGCCTGGAATCCATTTTCAGAAGTGGAGACTGTGTCATTGAATTACGTGATCCTCTGAGTGTGGCCAGAGTACCTGTGCACGTGCCTACACACATACACACACACACACAAACACATAGTACACATGTACACACTTATACACATGCACATGTATATGCATATATACATACAAACGCACACACAGTACACACGCACGCACACATATACACACATACATATGCACATGTATGCACATACACACGCATAGTACACATGCACACACATATACACATGCGTGTATACACACATAGGCACACACATACACATACACACGTACATACACATATATACACATACACACATGCATACACTCACCCACAAACACACACATACTGCCTCCCTTCTCCTCTTCCTTCCTTCTTCCTGGTCCTGCTCTTTCTTTGCCCTCATCTGTGATTTTTATTCCAGCTGCCAAGTGTTTAGCTCCTGTTTGTCCTTCTCCTCCTCTCCACCTGCCCACTTTGTGCCCTCAAGGCCAAAGTGTGCCCTACCACCACCACCTCCATGAAGCCCACCAGGAAAGGTGTAGCCCACGGGGCCCTCTGCCCTTTCAAACATCTAAACCTCTTCTCGGCCTGGGGCAGTTCACCATGGACTTTTCCTCGGTGGCTTCCTGGCCACAGCCTCTGGAGGGCACAGAGCATCCATGTGTAAAAACAAAATGTAAACTTGGCACCCTGCGCTTGGCATGCAGTGTTACTAGACCCATTTTCCTGACAAGAAAACTCTGGATCAAAGTCTCCTATACTCTTTCTAAATATCCTGAGTGAATAAGTGAGTAGATGTGACCCCAGGTCCCCTGGCTTCCTGGCAGCCCTGAAGGTTTACTATTTTAACTTTTATTATGAAAATTTCAAACATAAACTAAGAAGAATACCTGTATGCCCACTTGGGGGGCTGGTATTTTGGCCTTTATTCTCCATTGTTCTGTCTCCAGGATGAGTTGGCATGTTTGTTTTTTAGACCTCAAATTCGAAACATCAACTTAACTACCCTCCTGCGTTCATGACGTATTACCACCATTTACATATTTGTTCTCTGTATTCCTTTTTATCTGCGTAGCCCATTCCTATCCTATACACACACACACATACACACACGCACTGCACATACAAAGGCAAGTGTTCTATTGGTTTATTGTACTCTTTTTAAAAAATGAAACATGCGTATAAATGGTTGTTTTGTGCCTGTGTGTGTTTATTGTGGCAAAAGAGAGATAACATAAAGTTTAATATTTCATCCATTTTTAAGCGTAAGATTCAGTGACATTATGTGCATTCATGATGTTGTGTATCCATCACTACTATCCATCTTCAAAACTTTCCTATCACCCCAAGGAAACTGCCTTCCTGAGCAAAATCCCACATTCTCCCCTACCCCCACCCCTGATAACCACTATCCTATTTTCTGTCTCTATGAATTTCCCTATTCTAGACAGCTCATATAAGTGGAATCATGCAATAGGTGTCCTTTTGTGTCCAGTTTTTTTCTACCGAGCATGTTTTCAAGGCTCACCCATAGTTTAGCATGTATCAGAACTTCATTCCTTTTCATGACTGAATAATATTCCTGTGTGTGTGTGTGTGTGTGTGTGTAGACCACCTTTTGTTTAT